CAGGCTCAAGCTCTGTTCAACTCTTGTAAGCTGTACTGACTTTTTTAAATACTGAGGGAATATACTGAAAAGCTAGAAGCATATTCAAACACTGGGTAATATCTTCAGGTAAACTGAAAAAAAACCCAGATACTGACTTGCTTCCTGCTTTAAATTTGTCTTTTTTTCCCTACATAAATGGTATTCTCCAGTGACTGCCTCGGCAGTAATTACTTGTATGTAGCAATGTGAATTTGGAGGAGGGTTGACACTGCTACATCCAATTGAATTCTGTATTTTTGTGTCCTAAATGTGTCTTTTTGCTTGTAGATGTCACCACATACTCTGAACTGTGTCACTTCTTCCAAGTGGGACCGTCCTTATTCCAGAGAAGTGGCAGCATTCCCACTGGTGAGTAAATAATGGGATCCTAGTGGTGTGGAAATACATGTGCTTTCTGCTCTGTTGTTTTCTGGTCAGTTGAAGTAATCTGGTAAGAATAAAAATTTCAGAGCCATTTATACTGTTGCTCAGGGTTTTTTTTGGGGGGGGCTCTACAGTAGTTCCATTAGTTTTGTTTTACAAGACAAGGAAAAAAAAAATCTTAAAAATTTCTGAACACATTAAGTGCAAACATGGATTTCTAAATCTCAGCACTTCAGTTGGAAGCAGCCTATTCAGTTCTGATATATTGCACGGGGGCTCTCAAAACAGAGTCCCACATCCTGACATTCAAAGCTCTGCTCTGAAGAACTTGGATGAGGATTTGACATGATGCGCAGTCAGCACAGGGCAAGCCATACTAGTGCAAGCCTGCTACAAATAAAGGTTAAAATGGAGACGGATATGTCAGACTTCTTCACAGCACTGCATAAAATTTCTTCCAGATCTTAACAGCTAAATATATGTGTAACTAAATTTCCTCACCTAAAACTGAATTGCATCTATTTTATTGCTATGTACTGTTTCAAAGAGGAAGAAACCTGTGGTTTGCTACCTCATTTTATATAACTATACTCAACAGCACAGGTCTTGGTAGTATTCTCCACTTTTCCTTGGTTCCTGTCCATATGCCAGCTATTCAAAGGGTTGTAGTTTTTTTTTTTTTATCCCATGACAACTGCTTCTTCGCAAGCATTTGTTAGAGAACATGGTTAGACTTTTTAAAAAAATCTATTCTTTTGACTGCCAACTTTTATTATACATGCTTGTTACCTTTCAGGGACTGCAAACAGATTTCAAGTATGACTTCACTTAAAACTTTTCCAGTGTTTGTCATTCTTAAAACTTCTAATGTCTATTACAGTTACATAGTTTTGCTTGGTAGAAAAATTTAAATAGCTATTTTTTTTCTTCTGTTCTTAGCCATTTGTGAAGCCTGAAACCAAGTTTTGGCCCACAATTGCTCGCATTGATGACATATATGGAGATCAACATCTGGTTTGTACCTGTCCACCAATGGAAGCCTATGAATCTCCCTTTTCTGAGCAGAAGAGAGCGTCTTCCTAAGACTCACTCTAGCTGCCTGGATTTTTGAGTCCATCAGGATGGCCTTTTCTTCCCAGACCTGATAGGGGATTTATATACTGTGTATATTTTGAAAAATCACCATGTTTGTTAATTGAATCACTGCTGTTAAAATGTAAATACAATCAATAGGTGTAAACAAAATGTGATTGATTGTTCCACAGCAGCTGATGTTGAAGTTGCCTTGATTCAGTATTTTGTCTGTTTTGTGCTAAAGTTTTAACAATTAACACCCAATTTGCAAAGTGGCATGGAAGATATGGTTAACAAAAAGTAGAAAATATGCAGATGCATAAGGCAATAGTAATGAATATTAATTGCAGGAGTAATTGTTTATACTTTGTAAAAAAAGATGAAGTAGATTGTTTACTTCACATATTACCACTAGCATTGCAAGTGTTAATATTTCATACTGGATTTTTTCTACCTATCAATGTTAGTACTCTAATAAAATTGGTTGGAGTTTTATGTGTTGTCATGTTTTGGATTTTAACTTTTCAGCTGAATTCATCCCACAGAGCAGTATGAAATTATGAGGCATAAATTCTCATTTGTCAGAACTGCCACAGCAGTAACAGCTTTTACACAAGGCAAAATACTGGCAGAGAATAATAATGAAATCTCGGGTTCTTTTAAGGAGAGAGAATGATTGGTTTCATTGAGCAGTATCAAACTTAACTTTTTTCTACATCACATCAGTTTTTCCTAGTAGTTCCATGTAATCCTCTCCTCTTATTCTGGAGAAGGCATGAAACACCTTTTATAGCAGACTGTGAACTGCTTAGTATGAATTAGATCTTGTCTAACAAAGTGTTCTCCTTCCACAGTTTCTCAAATCTCTTAGTTTGGGTCTTGGCTTTGGTTTATACAGTGCACTCGTCTTTCCTTGCTTTGTCACATACATCTACAGCTTGTATAAAAACTGATTCACAGCTTTAGCTCTGGCCCTCCAAGAATACCAACAGTACTTTGAGACCAGAGCCCCACTGCTACTCACAATACCATGTTCAATTACTCAGTATCCAGAACACAGATCTTAAATGGGAGCCTCTTCTCATCTGTTCCCAGTCAAACTTTTCTATAAAACTGATCCTCTTACCAGTTACACAGAGAGATTGTATGTGTTATGAGTGCATTTGAAAGGAATCTGAAGGTGGGTCTGTGCAGACTCATTTGTGTCTGATGCAAGTGAGTGACCCTATAAAGACAAACTCGTTCAGCCACACAAAGCAGGATTTTGGTGAATGAGGAAACAGGTACTGCAGTAACACTCAGACTGGGCAAAGGACCGCAAAGTTTCACACCTTACAATCAGCAACTAGCCAAACTCTTCTTGAAGGCCTACATGCACACTCATGCCTGGGAACTTTCTTCAAAGTGACACAAATGAACCTAGTGTTCACAGCGCTATTTTAAGTACTGTACTTTTGTGTCTTTTATAGTGAAAGTTTCAGGACTGCCACTTTTTCATTACCTACCTTATGACTTCAGTGGGGGCTTTAATTACACAAAGACACTGCAGATGACAGAAGACAAGAATGGATTTCATTAAAGAAAGGTTATGCCAGGTACCAGTTCTGCTGTGAAAAGCTGCACCTAGGTCCTAAAATGTCTAAATACATGGTGAAGAAAATCAGAATTTTATACTGATTTTTACTTATTATACTGAAAAGGGTGTCTTTCAGCAGCTACTGACACAGCACAAAGGGTGTAAAAAATCATGAGGAAACACTGCAAACTTGTAATGTGAGAAAGGACAGTCTGTCCGCATTGCCAATCTAACTCCACGAAGTCTTGTCAAGCTACTTTGATTTTTGTTAAAGGCAGTTTCATGTTGCTTGTGTCTCACTGAAAAGATACATTAAAAAATCGGTTTACATCATTTTCATATTAAGCAGAGAACTACCAATTGTTGACCTCAAACTGAGAAATTTATCTCATCAATTAATTGGTAAAACCTCTCAAACAGAAAAAAAGCATTAAAAGTGTTTCACAGCATGCAATTACGAAGTAAAAAGCTGCAAGTCTTACATGCTTACTGCACAGATGCAGTGATTGTTACAAAGGTAATATTAGGTCTGTTTTCCCCATAAAAATAGTGAGCTAATGTTCTGTAAACAGAAGTTCAACAGGATATAAGAATCTGTCTATAGCTCTGTATGCTTCACACTAACACCAATTCACCTACTGAACAAAGGCTGAATCCTCATTCTAGTAAGCACAGAAAAAGCTGAGAAATTACATCTTTCAAAACTGTTCAGCAATGCCTGTTTTTTTGATATATGACTAGAGAGATAGTACCAGCATTATGTATTTGAGATGCAACTGAAATCTTAAGTAGAATGGGGGAGGAGAGAGAGAGGTTACTTATTTTGGATGAAGTGAGTAAGCCATTAAGTTAACTTTCAGACACAAAAACCAGCACTTCCACATGCATCTCAGTAACTGGCTCACTACCACACCAGTGTAAGGGTATGATCTTAAATTACTGAGAATGACATATATACTTCCATGTATACTTGTACATACCTACTTTGCAGTGCAGGTCCATGCCTGCGGTGGGAACCTCTGACTAATTGCTGTGTGGGGCATCCACAGCTCCCAGCTGCACCGAGCCATGCTAGCAGCAAGCACTGCCAACACCACTGGGGTAGGAGGGGCTCCCTCCCACTCTGGTACATGGATTGAGCACTAATGAGCTTCCTTCAAGTATCAGTAGAGACCAGAGTAGCTACTACAGCTACTGCTATGAGAGCTGCTATTACAGAGTATGTGTGAAACCATGGACACTGATGTCAGGTTGGGGTTTTTTTCTTAATTAACAATGTTTTTTTAACTGAGAAATTAGTTAAGGAATATAAAGCTTCATGTCTGAAAAACAAGCCCACCTAAAGAAAGTATGTAATAATCTGAAGTAAAAAGGTTGATAAAATTTTTATGATTTAAATAAGGGGAAAATAGTAAAAACAAAATTAGCAACTTTTCTGAATCATAAAATATTTAATAAGGTATATTTTGGGGGGGGATATATTGTATATAAAATTTCAGATCACAATATGAAGCGATTTGAACCCTCTCCAAGCTAGCACTGCCTTCAATGCTGTGTAGATAGATGTATTGCCACTGATACAAGACCTACTAAAAGCATACATTTTAACTAATACAGAAGTGGCTTTTTTATATGAAATATTTTTTACACAACTAGAGTGTCTTGAATACCCTCTTTAAGTGCAAAAAACACAGATCACTTTACACTAATGCAGCAACAATGCATTCATATTGTTCTCATTAGTCATTAGTAGTCAACTTGCGTAAGATACAAGAAAAGCACAATGAAGCTCACAAAAATAGACTAAAAATCAGCCTGTTCTTGCAAAAAAATACAGCATAATAGAAGAAAAAGACAAAAAAAGGATTATGCACACCACAGAATTTGCTGTTCTTTAATCCAGCTGGCTTAAGTGCTGTTTCTGGGGGTTTTTTGCTGTTTTTTGTGGGTTTTTGTTTTGGTTTGGGTTTTTTTTTGTAAATCAAACCACATGGACCAGGCACAACTAATATTCAGGAGGCAGTGATTAGCTAAAACTTCACTAACTTTTTGTCATCCCCACAATTTATTTTCCTCTGTCCTGAGGTAGTTACAAAAAAATAAATCATAAATTAACCATCAGCTAGGCCAGTAAGAGCTGAGGCTTTTCTTTTCTTTAAAAACTATTTGTTAACTGGCCAAAACTACCCTTGATGTTAAAAGACAGCTGAGAATTAGAGTTCTCACTACACCAAAAAGATGGCTATGAGGGGAAGAGGGTTAGCTGCTTCAAAATGTGACAATATATTGAGTCCCATCAAGCTGGCTGGTCCACTGTTGAATTTTCCGTGTTTATTCTCCTTTGCTGTCTATAAAGTCACTGGGAGAAGTACAGAAGGATCTGAGCACATCATCGTCCTTTACTGTAACCAGGGAAGAACTGGTCCAGTAGTGTCTGCAGTATCTTGTTTGGAACCATGGTGTAGCCCTTACCAAGGTCATAGCGGCAGGCAGGGCAGGTGAAGACTTCAGCTCTGAAGGAGCGCTGTAAACAACTCTAGGACATACAAGGCAGAGAAGTAAATTGTGAGAACTTTGTTTTAGACTGACAGCTTAACCAGCAAAATCTAATTAATCACTATAAACCAAAGATGCAATCTGTTGTACTACCAGAAAACAGGAAGTCATTACCAAGCCCTCCGGCGCCTAGCTCTGCCTCTGTGACAAAAATGTCCTAACAAATAAGGTCTGCTCTGGGCTGGGACGTGAAACATTGAGTTTGGGAGGAATTAAAACAAATCACTACTGATATGTCCCTTTCACTTCCACTAGTGCCTTCCTGTGAAATGCAGCCATGTCTGCAGCTTCCTTACAGATTCACAGATTGCTACATTTTTCCAGACTTTCATTTCAAGAGGAAGGTGACTATACCAGGAGCAGACACCCCTGTATCCTGCAGTGAGACAGCACAGTCACCCCCACTGCCACCTATGGGGGTCTGCAGTGGAGCAGATGCCGATTTGTGGCCTGTGGGGGCCCCCACACCGGGACAGGTGAGTGTGCCTGAAGAAAGCCAGTACCCCATGGGAAGAAGCTTCTGCTGCTGTAGCTCAGCACTGGGAGGACTGCAACATGTGGGGGTGGCTCATGACCGAGAGAGTTTGTGGAGGACTGACTCCAGTGAGAGGGGGTCAGACTGTGCTGAAAGAGGGGAAGAATGCCTTAAGTTTCCCCTGCACCAAGGTGGAAGATGACACAGGACTGACTGCACCCCCTATTCCCTGCCCCCAGCACTGCTGGTGGGAAGGACGTAGAGATACAGGGAGAAAAGCTGAGCCTGGGAAGAAGGGAGGGGTGGGGAAAGGTGTTTTCAAGATGTGGGAATGCTTCTCATGGTTCTACTCTGGTCACGTGGTCAAGTGTTGTTGTTATTGTCTAGTAAATTTATGTTCTTCCCCCCCCCC